AAAAAAAAAAGTAGACAAAATAATCAAAAGAAACAAAACAAATAGAAAACAATTATTCCAAGTTTCGCGACTTCTTTTTTTTTCTTGTTCATCATTTCATATTGTCAATATTTTCGTTAACATTTTGTTTATCGGTTTTTTTCTTTTTTTTTTTCTATGAAAATTATCGTCGTCATTAAAAGCAGATATTTTATTGAGTATCATCATCATCATCATTATCATCATTAGAAACGTTCGTAATATTATTTTTTGTTTATTTCTTCAACAACATGGATGCATCAATACGTCATCAGGTAAATGAAAACTTTAAAAACATACATAGAGATAAATTGTTGCTTCTGATGCACCTGCAATTTATTATTTTTTATTTTGTTAATATTTTGTTCCCTCCTAACCTTACTTTTCGTTCAGTTCTTCCTTTTTTTTTTCCTTTTCTTTTCTTTTCTTTTTCTTTCTTTTTTTGTTTTCCACCATATTCCACTTTCCCGCTATTGCGAACGGTGAAGTACTACGTGAATAAAGCCAGTGAATGGGGATGAAAAAAAATAGGAGTTGGAAGGGAGAGGCAAAAAAAAAAGCTACGCGTGATTTTTTTTTTGTATTTTCTGCCCTTTTTTTTTTGCTTTTGGTTTTTGTTTTGTTTTTGGCACGGGATTCTTCTTTTTCTTTTTCTCTCTTTCTCTCTCTTTCCTTTCATTTTTATTTTTATCTCGCTTTAAACCCTTTTTTTTCTTCCTTTTTTTTTTCTCGCCTCCCACGTTTGTCAACGTATTATCACCACACAATTCTGACGATTTGACAAACACGAGAAATTCAACGCAAGTTTGCGAAATACTTTATTAACTATAAACGCGTGTCATTCTTTATAACTCGGTGTGAACGGAAAAAATATTAACCAATGAGAAATATGCTTTTGTTTTTTCATCTACTTTTTAATTTTACTTTTACTTACATTTTGTTTTTTAACAATGAGAAAAATTTCTTGAACGATTGTTGTTTTCATTTATTGTTTTGTTTTTAAAATATTAGGTTTTCCCAAAAAAGTTTATTTTTTTATTTTTAAAGAATAACTTTCATTAATTATTTTAATAATATTTCATATTATTTAGTATAATAACATAACTATAATATAATAAATATTAATTACATTATTTAATTATATATTAACTATAATATTATTAACTATATATATAATATTAATGATATATACATATTTTTTATTTATGATAAAACTTATTATACAATAATTAAATTATATTATAATATATTAAATAATTATATTTTATAAATTATTTATTAAATTTGTATATAAATTATTAAATAATATATTAATAAATAATTTTATACTTACTGGGATTTGATCCACTGAATCTTGAATGGCAATCGAAGAAGACACAGCGTCTCTACTACCTGAGCTATTCAAGGACTACTATATTAATTATATATTATATATATATATATATATATATATTTTTTTTTTTTTATTTATAATAAAATTTGTTATATAGTAATAAATTATTATTTAATATTATATATATTAATAATATTAATATAATAATTAATATATATAATTAATTATGATTTTTTTTCTTCTTATTTTTCAATCAATTGAACAAAAATTCATTCGAATTCAATGTAAAAACAAAACCAAACCATATTAAAAAATTTAACTCATTTGTTATCTACGTGTCTGTAAACAATTATTCTAAATAATTAACTTGTACTTTTTTTAATACGTTTACCACAGTTATTGTTAGAGGCATTGTCGTGAGAGAATACACCCTGTTCTAAAGGTGTCGCAAGTCGGTTCAATTTCACACTCAGATAGATGCAACAGGATTGCTTGTTTCCTTTTCGCATAATAATAATAATAATTATAATAATAATAACAACAATAGTTTTATAACATTAAAAACCTTACATCAACTAACACTCATCCCACCCCTTCCTTGTTTCTTTACACTTTAACGAGGAAAGTTGTTTAATAAACGAGAAATAATGCAAATCATCTTACGTTATTTTGATAATAACAATATATCAATACGTGGATTCTATCTAACTTTGAAAATCGATATTGGAAATAAAAAGATAAAAAAAAAGATAAAATGAAATATGTGAGCTTGCCAAATGGGGGTGGTTTTTTTTCCCTATTCCAGATAATACGTTCTTTTCTTTTTTGTTTCAATAATCTCTCAGTTGGTAATCGATTTTTACTATTCTAAAAATTCATTTTTCACTTGAAACAAAATTTCTCATTTCGACAGGTTTATTTTTTATTGATAATCAGCATCGGTTTTGTGTATTGCGAGCCACCATTGAGTAATCAGTACGGATACCCTTTGGAAGGTAACAACGGAAATTTCCTCGGTGCCAACAACGGAAATTTCCTCGGTGGTGGTACTTCTGGTGGTAATAACAATTACAGACACCATGACGGTGGTGGTCACTCGTCATACGATGACGGACACAATGACAATCAAGACTATGCCGATAATTACGTGAGTAATGATCGTTTTTTTTTTTTCAATCAAATATGTTACTGTTTCTCGATATTTTTGATATTAAATAAACAATTGAACATTAAAATGAAAGTTTTAATCTTGCAAATGTGTTTTAATGATTGATGATGACTTTAGGAAGAATTTTTTTTTAAGTGCACGTGCATTGAAGTTTTAGTAGTCTTCTAAAGATCAAAGGGATTTCGTAAACTTTTATGACGACACTTCAAAAAATAGGTTTTGGAATCTATGATCCTTTTGATCCTTTACGTGCTTGAAATATGTGTCACTTATTTAAATTTATCATTTTTTATATTGTTTATTAATTATTAAAATTATTAAAATTAATTTTTAATAAAAATTAAATATACAACAAATATATAACAAATATATAACAATATTTAATTGTTTTTTAAAATTAATTTAATTATTTTTATACAACATTATATATATGTATTATTTTTATATGTATAAACTTGTCACAAAATTTTCTTAATTTCAATTTTTACATTGATATTATTTTTTAATTTCAATTATTTTACCGAGTTTTTCATATTTTCAATAAAACCTATAACATAAAAAATATATGCAATATTATGCATGTATATTTTATTAATTATAAAATAAAGTAAGAAACTTTTAGAACAAGTTAATATTTCATTGGACAGGATACACTTTTTTTTAACATTTTCAAAAAAGAAACTTGAAGTAATTTCTTCATTATTAATTTATTTATTACTTCGATTAAGATATTTTATTCTTTCATTATGTCATATTACGTCGGTAAAGTCACTCGCGTCTGTTATCTAACAGTGAACTACCTTATTGAACCCTTTTGATAGGCAACACGTATTTCAAACATGTACAGATAAATAGTTTATCGTATGAGATAAATCAAATTTATTACTGAAAGATGGTAAACAATATTATTGATATTTTATAGATTATTATTTTTTGATTTTTAATTGAAGATATTAATTCATTTCAAAGATAGAAAAAAAACATGTGTGCATATCACACAAGTTAAAAGCGAAACCTTCAAACAAACAAGTTTCGAGGATAATTTAAAATATATAATATTATTGTAATATTATTTTTACATTTAATTTGTAATTATTTTTTAAATTAATTATTTAATTATAAAAATGCGCGCCTGTTCGTATGCAACCCTCCAGACACACTTTAAAAATGCTGCTTGCGAGCGCCATCTACTGAGACGGAATTTTTTTCCAGTCAAAACTGTTTATGCACGGATGTAGGACGGGTTGCTTATCTTTTGGGCAAAAAAATATTCCTACTCGAAAGATGGCGCTCGCAAGCAACATTTTCAAAGTATGTCTGAAGGGTTGCATTCATACAGGCGCGTATTTTAATAATAATTTCAAAGAAAGTAAACAATAGAATACTTTAAAAAATGTTTGCAAATCATATATTTTTATAAATAATGATAAAAATTGAACTTTAATATTGTAATTAATTTATGCATATTTTTTAGAATAATATTTAGTATTTTATATGAAATAAAAATAAAAAATCATGTGTGCAGATCACACGTGCTAGAAGTGAAACCTTCAAAAAACTAAGTTTCGAGATAATGAGTCAAATTCAGAGTATCAGGAGTAAAATAATTGTAGGATTTATTTCTTATAAAAAAAAAACAGCTTTTTTTGTGAGAAACGTGGATAGTCTAGTGGCCAGTTGAAGAACTAACTAATATTTTAGAATATGTGAGTTGAGTTAATATGAGTCTACGTTCCGTAGTATGCAGTTGCACACAAACACACACATATACGACACTTAGTAGCCAGGAGTGGGAGACTACAAAACACTGTTTAAAGAGGAGACTGAGATAATAAGAAACAAATGCATACTGTCTTCTATCTCATTCTCTCTTAAGCTAAATCCTACAGATGTGCATATGTTTGTCACATTTTCTCTTTTTAGTAACGTACCCGTTTCATCATCGTTTCGTTACCGTTACCATGGATTTTCGTTCACTTTTTTCAAATCACTACCCCCATTCTAAAGAAGTTTTCACTTCAATAAAACTTCAATTAATTTGAATTTTTCAGCCAAAATCGTACGAATTTGGATATGCGATAAAAGATGTTGCAACGGGTAATGATTTTGGTCGAAAAGAGACGAGTGATGGTGAAACAGTTCGAGGTGAATACAGAGTACAATTACCTGATGGTAGAACACAGATTGTAACTTATACAGCAGATTGGAGAACTGGTTTTCATGCAGATGTAAGATACGAAGGTACTGCGACTTATCCCGATCAGTACAACACTCAGAACAATGGTTATAATAATAATAATAATAATCAAGGCTATGACTACCAAGGAAATGGTATAAATAATGGATATAACGGAGGTAAATCTTTTTTTCGTTTTTTTTTTTTTCTAATTATCGTTGGACTGTGTTTGTTTTAAAAATCGATGCTTGAATATGAAAATTAGGAACCATTAAATAAGAAATGTTTTGTTTTTGTTGTTGTTTCAGGTAATAATGCTAATTATAATAATAATCATAATAATAACAACTACAGACACGGAGGTAGCAACTACAATCAAAATAATTTTCAATTAGGCTCAAATGGGTTAGATAATAATTATAACTTTGGTGATGTTACGAGAAATACTTACAAACCACCGGTTTATGGGCCACCAGTTGGATAAATATAAATATTTATATATATATATATTTTAATAATATCATTAACGACTGTATAAAATTTTTACATACATTTTTTTATTAAATAAATAAACGTTTTCTTAATTTTTTTTTTCATAAGTTTTCATTTCAATTTAATCGTACGTTTCTCACGTTTTTTAATATTAATTAGAATTAAATAATAATTCTATTAATTATTTTTATTATTAAATAAAATAAAATAATATTCAATTAATATTTATATATTAATATATTAATAAATATATTAATTATATATAATATTAATAAATTTTTAAATATATTGTTTAAAATATATATATTGTAATTTAATAATTAATAATATATATATTATATTTAATATATTATAAATATATATATTTTTTATAATTAATATATAGATGTATATTAAATATTAAATTAATTAATTAAAATTGAATTAAACAAAAACTTAAACATAGAAAAAAAACAATGATGTAATTTAAAAAAAAAAAGTACTATATATTGTTTTTTTATTCTATTATTTATTTTATATTTTGAAAATTAGTAATCCAATGACAATTATTGGAATTTATTTAACAATATTTAGCAATATTGAAAGCATGTTATGATTATCATGTATATACTTTGTACTTTTTTATGTACTTTTTTACAATTTCATATTTGTTTAAATTTACATCGTTAATATATTAATTTTATTAAACAAATTTCAAAAGATTACTTATCTTCAAAATAATTTCAAAAGAAACACAAAATATAAATGGCTACATAATATATTTTCATCTACGTTTTAATAATTCAAAATAAAACAAACGTTTATGCTCTCAAATTTTACAAAGTTAAATTATTTTCTTGTTATTTTTATTAACAATCTGAGAAACATATCTTTTGAAACAAAACAAAATGTTACTTTACAGAATAAATAACCATAGCATATGACAAAGTTGTTTTAATCACCTTAAACAAAAACATATATATATATATATATATAACATATGAAAATAAAAATTGTAAAATAATTTGTTATTAATTAATTTTTTGTTCTTACCGTCATGGAAAGTTCGACAGATAATGTTAAAAAATTGACGAGTACAAAGTAACATGGTTTTAAACTTCTCATCATCATGAACAACAATAATGTTTGTGATTTTGTTGAAAGTACGTACCATGGTATATAAAACCTATAAATTGATCAGTTTATAATTCAATAAATAAATAAATATACATATTTTATTAAATAAATATATGTGGTGATTATTATATATATATAAAAAAAAAAATTAAAATATAATTGAAAATGTAAAATAAAAAATTGTGTTCATCATTGTAAAAAAAAAAGAAAAAGAACATTTTCAAATGAAAAATTATTAATAAATATAATGAAATATATTTTCAAATAAAATAAAATAATGTTGTTTACGTTTTGTTGACTATAATAACGCTGTGATCTATTATTTTTTGGCCTAAATAACAATTCATGGATAATATACCGCAATTGAGGATGATATTAAAAATTGAAAGAACAGTTTCTCTTATATTTTGTCGTTCAACAGCTGAGTTATGTAAAAGCTATAAAAAACAAAAACAAAAAACATAAAAATGTTAACCTATAACTTGTCACGTTTTAATTAAAATAATAATAATTACAAAAATAATAATCATACCCGTATAAAAGTAATAATTATAAGAATTGAACCAAGTATAATCATTATAGAAGAACATTTTTCGTATGACGAATTAAAGATGGAGTAAAATCTTGAATGATACAAATTTTGGTTTAGGTTAAAAAATAAAACATATTGAAATTGATTGATGAACATGATTTTTTTCTTTTTTTTTTTTTTTTCATATACTAACTCTAATGTTTTTTTGTGATATTTTATACTACGAATTATTTTCTCATAAACTTTATCTTCTGTATAACGATCATATAAAATTTCCTTTCTAATTCCATCCAACATGTTCCTGAATAAAAGATGAACGATTAAAGTATTATTAGGATAATCTTAGGTTATGTACTTCTGATTCACAATAAAATTTGTTATGTGTGTGTTAATATTTATTTTTTTTTAGATAATCGTAGTAAAATTATCTTTTTTGTTTTTAATTTCTTAGAAGAAAAGACTAATTTAAGGGGACCTTCTGCTCTGCAAATAAAAAAAATTTTTTTTTTTTTTTTTTACATTTTTTGAATGTATATATATGTAGAAATATTGTGTTAAAATTTCAAAAAGATCCGATGTCTCTAACTACATTTTTGGTGCCTGAACGTAACTACCTCGGACCGCTTTCCTGAGCGTTCGGCGCGCACGGACGACTCTTATCTTGTTCAATCCCTTTCTCTTTCATTGTTTATTCAAGCAGTTTTTTTTTATTGTAATCTGTATAATCCTTCNACCATTTTACTTTTATGTTTCAGGTAAGCCATTCTCAAATTCTGATGGAGCTACCAAAGCACTAAAGTTTTAAGGTGTTTTTTTATACTACTGTTTTTGCAATAAAAAATTAATTAAAATGAAAAAATAAAAATTCATTTATATAGTTTAAGACTCAATTTAACAAACCCAACAACTTTTAGATCGATATCTTTCATAGTTTTCTTGGAAAAAATTCGCGAATATAGCCTTTTTTTTAGGTGCTCAGAGTAGAAGGTCCCCTTAAAGTCTCATTTGAACGACTAAATGAAGAAATTTTAATCAAAATAAAAAAACAAAAATTCCGGAAACTGTATAAAGATACAATAATTTAATTTAAACCAGTATAGTAACATTACACGTATAATTTATGTGTATATAATAAATTAAATATTAATAAACATTAATATAATTAATAATTAAAAAAAGATATGAAGAAATTTGAACAAAAACAAAATTCCTGAGACTGTATAAAGATACAATAATTTAATTTAAACTAGTATGGCAACGTTACACGTATAATTGATCAGTGAATAATAATTAAATATTAATAATTAGTAATAATACATAATTAAAAAACAGATATGTGATGAAATTTGAGCAGAAACAAAAAAACAAAATTCCTGAAACTGTATAAAGATACAATAATTTAATTAAAACCAATATAGTAACGTTACACGTATAATTTGTCCGTAAGTATTAAATTGAATATTAATAAATATTAATATAATTAATAATTAAAAAAAGATATGAAGAAATTTGAGCAAAAACAAAATTCCTGAGACTGTATAAAGATACAAAAATTTAATTTAAATCAATATAGCAATGTTACACGTATAATTTTTTCTGTAAATAATAAATTAAATATTAATAAATATTACTAATTAATAATTAAAAAATAATAGTACAGTCGTACAAAAATATTCGTTCGAATAGTGTATCGTTGCTTGGAATAATTTAAAAAATATTAATCTAACACACATAAATCAAATCTTATGGTGATTTAGTTCAATTTAAATGAATGATTTATCTTTGCTGACATATATTTAATCAATTAAAAAAAAAAAATCTATCGTAATATAATTTTACCCAACAACACAAAACATTCCACAAATGTGATATATAAGTACTGCAAATAATGTATAATTTCCTATTACAGTTGTACACGTTATTGATGACAGAACAAATGTTATTAACAATATCACAAAGTAATATTTTTGTATGTCTATAAAAAATTCCATAGGAAATGGTAATGTACGATGACGTGGTTGATTTAATGGAAAATACATGTCTAAAATAAATGGTATGGCTGATATCGATATTGCTGTTAATATCAACCCATAAGTCAATGCTAAAAACAAAAAAAACAAAAAGAAATTAATAATTGTAAATTATTAAATCAAATTAAGTTAACACGTTCCGTGCCAAGTGTATCAACGGTGGTACACTTTAAACTTGTTCTTCAGGCCACGTGTACCACCGGTGGTACACTCACCATTACACATATTTATTTAATGCGCTGTAAATATATGTTTATGACAAATTTAAAATATTCCTATTGAAATATTGATGCATTATTACAAAATGCAGTATAAAACAAAGCACATAAGTTATATTTACAATAATTAATGATTACATGTAATGGTTGATTTTGTTAAAGCAAAATTAAATGGCCTGAATAACAACAAGTCAGGTAAAAAGGGGTTGGCACGGAACGTGTTAATAATATTTGACTGTATTTACATATTATTATCAATGAATACGTTCTACCATCTTCAGCATATTTCTTCATTATTTGAAATTCTTCGATATGTTCTCTTTCATGCCAATTTTGTTTGATAAGTTTTAACAGTTGACTTATCTGCATTAATGAAAAATATTAATTGTTTTGCATCTTCATTTTAATTATTATTAATTACATATTATTCATACCTTCGCCATATTGAATAAACTATTGTAATAAAGGAAAACACATGTTAAATATAAAATAAAATTAGAAACAATTTCCATGAGTAAATAAAAATTTGTTGCTTTAACAATCGCTGTTATCTAAAAAATTAAAATTTTTTTATATAAAAATATCATGAATAAAATAATTTACCCAAGTATATAGTTTACCTGTAATACGAAAAAAATGAAGAAAGTACCGCTTATTATTAATCTTCTAAAATATGTTTTATTTCTTTCGGAATATGGCCAAAGTCCGATTAATGATAAACAAATTTGATTAAGTTTATAGTAACGTCTTTTGAAAAAATCTACTTCATTTATTTGATAATTCTGATCCATGTGTAAAAACACGTTTATTTTCTATTATATTTCTAACCTCAATGTTTCTTCGTGTTAGCTTTTAAAATACAATCGTACGATCATTTTCTTTTCTATTATTTCGCGACAATATATTCTTTTTTTTTTTTTGTCTTCCTTTTAATCGATAAATAATAAAACACTGTGTGTTTGAGTGTTAAGTTCAATTTTAACTTACTTTGTATACACACATGTGTGTAATGAGAAATAAAAAGGGGGTGGTAAACGTGATAGCATGACACGTGTCAATCAAAATGATTATTTTACGAGTATATATACCCTCTTCT